TTTGGGAAATGTTTGTTCCTCTGTGCTGGGCCCAGGGCCTAGTGTGGGGTGAGTCTGAGAGCACATACTTAGCTCCCAGCCCTGCAAGCCCAGCCTTCAGGGCCCGGCTGCCAGCACTGTGTGTGACCTTGGTCACAGTGGGCTCTTGCTGCCTTGATTTCCCCACCTGCTGAAATCAGACTCCGTGCAGAGCCTTCCAGGGCTGTAATGGGACAGGGCTTGGCAGGCGCTCAGGCACCAGGCAAGGTTGTTTGTCACGAGTTCTCCAAGGGGCGGAGGGACAGCCAGGCTCTGGGCCAGCATGGGGCCCACACTTCTTTCCAGCTCTGCTGGGCTCAGGCTCCGTGTGGCTTCTTTAAATGGATCCACCCCAGGGGCCAGATCCCAGGAGCACTCCTCCCTGTGATCTGCAGCTGTTGCTAGGGAAGGCTGGGTACCTGGCCTCCAGGGCTGAGCCTTGGATGGCTTGGATCAGCAGGCTGGGCATAGCGCACATCAGCCACAAGAAAAATATCTGTGTGTGCTCAGGGTTCTCATCCTAAAATGAAATCAAGGCTGACTACACAGTTACTGCCTCTCTCTCTCTCTGTCTCTGTCTCTCTCTCTTCTTTTAGAGTTCTGGGGATAGAACCCAGGACCTTAATCATGTCAAGCAAATACTCTACCAAGGAGCCACGTCCTTAGCCCTCTGACTGATGTGCAATAATACTGGCAGCAGAGGCAGGTGGGGGTGTGGAAATTAAGAATAAAGCAAACGACAGGTGGCTCCACCAACTGGATTATGCCTGTAATCCCAGACTCAGAGGCTGAGGTAGGAGGATCACAAGTTTGAGGCCAGCCTCAGTGACTAGGATGTAGCTCAATGGGAGCATGCCCCTGGGTTCAATCCCCAGTACTGCAATAAAATTAAATAAAATTAAATTTAAAAATTTTAAGTGACAAAAGTAACAATAAGTGTCACAAAGAGATGTGAGAATGTCAACAGCCTAATGCAAATTCCTATGGAAGGAACTCTTTACTGGATACATCTTTTCAAAAGTGTCATAAGCCTCGGGCACATAGTAAACCATCACAGAGAAAGGGAATGTACAATGTCCCAGTATCATGCCTTGAGGACACTGCTGTCCCCATCAACCTGTTGTGGAAACTCTTGGTCTATTCTTTTTCCAACTAAGCAATCTGTCTGCAGTACTTGTTTCTACCAGAAGGTGGCGAAAGCTTCTATATGAGTTACCCACAGGTCAGGTTTGGAAATTAAGAAGTAAATCAGTAAAAATCACATCGTGAGAGCTGGGAAGCCTGAAGGGGTGTGCTCTGCACCCTAGCAGTGTCTCTGGACAGACTGAGGTGGCTTGCTGGAGTCTGTTGGTGCGGAACAAACAGGAAAAGACCAAAACGACACAGTCTTACTGAGCTTTGACCGCATGCCAGGGACCTAAACTGTTGCATTTATCTTTCTGTCTCATCCTCACAACAGACCTGTAGGGGAGGTAGCTGCATTGCCGGGAAAACCAAGGCACAGAGACCAAGGCGCAGAGATGGTAATAGGGCCAAGATTTCAACCAGAGGAGCTGGTCTCCAGAGCTGAGCCTCTAAGCACTTTCCCTTGTTACCTCCGCCGATTTTCATCGCTTGGGATTGGCACAGCTAACACCAGAGGCCTCTCCTTCCCTAGGGCTGCCATAGGTAGAAGAGAAAACAAACGTTCTGAAATTCCATTTCCAATGATGCTTCTGCCTCTGACCCCTGGGACCTTGCATATCAGCCAAGATAAGCCCTGTGGTGAATTTTATTAAGTTGTGCACTCTCTGAGTGACCAGAGGCTTAAGATTAAATCTCTTGGTCCTTATCTTCTCCCTTCTGTGCATTGAGGGGTCTAGGAAAAACTTCAGTTCCTTTGCTGCTCGGACATGCAACAATTCTTAAGAAACTGTCTTCTTCCAGGACTCCCAAGCCCAAGGTTACAGATGCTGATCAGGCCTGGTCATGTCCGCACGTACAGTGTGGAATGTCCAACAGGCACACAGATCTACTACGGAACTGGGCAGGGCGTTGGAAAGTTTTGTATTTTGGTTGATTTTTTTTTTCTTTTTTTCATTTGTGGTCCTGGGGATGGAACCCAGGCACTCGACCACTGAGCTGTATCCCCAACCCTTTTTTTTTTTTTTTTTTTTAATATTTATTTTTTAGTTATTGGCAGACATAACATCTTTGTATGTGGTGCTGAGGATCGAACCCGGGCCGCACGCATGGCAGGCGAGCGCGCTACCGCTTGAGCCACATCCCCAGCCCTCCCCAACCCTTTTTATTTTTATAATATTTTATTTTGAGATAGGGTCTGGCTAGGTTCCCCGGGCTAACCTTGAACTTGCAATCCTCTTGCCTCAGCCTCCAGAATCACTGAGATTATAGGCATGCCCTGCCCCACCCAGCTGCATTTTTTATGATAGGGAACATTTCATAGGATTTTTCAGACTGGAAGAGCTGTCAGAGGACTTTGGCAGTCTGTGTCCTGTGAGATAACCACATATGTTTTCTTATTCACAAGCCTTGTCTCCCTACCTGGTCCTGGGCTGGAACCTCTTTAAAAACAGGATGTTTTATAGCACCTCCCTTAAATTGCCTCACATAGCACAGCCTTAAATAGGTGATCAATTTGTACTTGTGCATTGATGGGGAAGGAAAACCCAGGGGTGATTTATACTAATCTTTTTTTTTTTTTTTTTTGGTTAGTTGCACTCACCTTCCTCAGGACACCTTCATCAGCCACCGTCTGGACCTATCTCCTCAACACCCCTAAACAGCACCTCATTCACTCAGGTGTGTTGGTGCCAAGGCTGCCCTGGTACCTCTGCTTTTCTGGTGTCTCTGCCAGCCCCATCCCTTTTCAACCTCACGCACTAGGCTCTGGCCGACTCCCTGAACTGTGACCTTTCCTATCCCCACCTTTGGGTTTCCTTCTCCAGAGGAGAATCAGACAGAAGCTTCCAAGAGACTGCTGGAGAGAAAAGGACTTGGGGCTGGAAGAGGGTTCCTAGCCCGCAGGGACCTCAGGGGGAGATGGTAGGCCCCACCCTGGCTCCCCTCCAGTCCCCTTCTCCTGCAGACCTGTCCTTGATGGGTCCCCTGTCACTGTCACTGGGTCCCTGGGATCTGCAGGGAACTGTGGGTGGGCCTCACAGTCCTAGTCTTGCTGGCCCTCCCTGTGTGGCCTGGGCAGGTGGCTTGAGCCCAGGAAGTACTTCCCCTGCTCAGCTTCTCTGTGCTGTGGTGCCTCAGGGTCCGGAGGCTGGAACAAGAGGGCAAGACAGAGGATGATGGGAAGGAAGCCAACCGCCTTGGGGGGTTCTGCTGCCTTCTGGGTGATGTGTCCTTAGATTAGGCTGGAATTGGCCCATCTGAACCTCCTGGCCCTGCCTGGTCTGGAGCCTGTTTTGCTGGGGGGTGAGGGCTCAGATTCCATTGTCTGTTGCTGATAAGACCCAAAAGGCCCCTGGGTGGCAGTGCAGTGGGCTAGGCCCACTGACACCTTCTGCTGCATGGGCCTTGGGATCTAGTATCCAGGCAGGGCCCAGGGAGCTGGGCGGAGCCCCAGGAGAGGGGCGTGGTGTGTGTGTCCAGGGTGGGGAGTCTCCAGTCCCACCCCGTGGCTTGCTGGGGTGAGAAGTTCTGGTCCAGCAGATGGGTGGGGAACTGTCCTTCTCTGACACCCTGAACTCATTTCAGGCCTTTGATAGAGACCTCTGCTGTCCTCAGATTTGTAGACCATGACATGTGCCTTCTCAGGGCGCTTCTGCTAGCCTGGAGACTAGGGGGACAGTCTGATGCGGCCCTGCACACCTAGGTCCCCCGCCTTTACTTCCCCAGCCCTGAGGGAGGATGGTGGAGAAAATAAGCCACCGCCCTTCATCTCAACGGCCACACAGTGACACCTGGTGGATCCCGGGCGCCATCACATGAAGACCTCAGAATCCCTGCAGGCCCAAAGGCTAAACCCTGCTTTCCAGAATCCGAGCTTCCCCCAGGCCCCTGGGCTGCAGCTCAGCTACTCTCACAGGTAGCCGAAATCCTGCAGTTTACCTCAAAGCCCAAAGTCCCAGGCACTGGGGACCTCTGAGCAAGGAGATGAGCCTCGGAAGGATTCATTTCCCCTGCCAGACAAGGGCTCTGGGGGGCCTGTGCAGATCATGAAGTCATGGTACTTGGCCACTAGGGTTGGATGAGGCTTCCAGAAAGATCTGGAAGGGCCTGGGCCTGAGCCTCAATTTCCATACCCAGGGTTGCAAAGGCACAAAGCAGATTTTGCTGCCCTCCTCAGAACCAAATTGGAACCTATACAGGGCCCTCGCCTGGACTGACACCCTTCCCAGGGGACACTCTAGGTCATCTGATTGCACACAATACCCCTGACAGCAATGAAGGCCTTGAGCAGAATGTCATCCACCTTCTGTTTTTCGTGACATGACTTGGATAAGGCCACAGAGCTACCTCATTTAGGGGCCATCTGCCCAGAGGAGACACAGTGACAGGTCACTTCCTTGTGGACTGTGATAAGCTGAAGAACCTGAGTTCATTCCGCAACAGAGCACTGACAGGTGTGGGGCTGGACTGTCCCCAGGCCCAGTCCCACCTGGTCTTTGGACGAGGGAAGACGGTCTTCATGACTTCTTGGCTCAGTTTCTCAGTATTGAGATTGAGATGGCTAAGGTTTGCACCCTGTTCTGCAGTCTTACTGAGCATAGTAAGACTTGGTTCCTTAACCTCTCTGTGCCTATTTCCCATTTTTCTGAAGTTATCATGCTACCTAAGTCTCAGGGTTATTTTAGGAAGATTCAGTACCACGTGGGAAGTGCTTAGAACAATGTTCCTCCGTGGTCACTGCTGTTGGCTGAGAATCACACACCCCCCCACCTCAGAAGGAAGTACCCGGGGGTGTCCTTTCTGGTGGGGGTGGAAGTGTGTCTTAGTGTCTTTGCCGTAACAAAGTACCACAGACTGGGTAGTTTACGTAACAGGTCTTTATTTTCTCGGTTCTGGGAGCTGGAAGTTCAAGACTAGGAGCCAACACAGCAAGGTTCAGGTGAGGGTCCTCTTCATGGCTTATAGATGGCGGCCTTCCACTGTGCCCACGTGGCATGTCCCTGGGAGGTGGGAGGGAAAGAGCACGCAGATGTGTGGCATCAGGGAGAGCCAGCAGTCTCTTCCTCTTCTTGGAAGGCCAACAATTCTTTGGGATAAGACACCCCCCCCCCCCCCCCGGGGTGACCTTGTTCAACCTTAATCACCTCCCAGAGGCCCCATCTCCACCACAGTCACAGTGGGATAGGATTCAGCACTGGAATCCTGGACGACACCATTCAGGAACACTGATCGGCACTGATCTACCACCCATGACATGAAGACCCAGATCTTCCTTGGCCTTGTGGCTGGGGCCAGCGTCCTCTGTCAGCTTGAGGCAGTGAGGGGATGATTCCAAATGCCACGTATCAGCAGGGCCTGACGGGCTAATTCTACTCCAGGTCCCGGCATTCCCAGTGCTAGAGGGTGCCAGCCTCCCATGACAGGGTGAGCATTGATTGTGGAGCACACACTGGTGTGCCCTGCATCCAGAGGCCCCGTCCACTCCCAGCTCCTGGGGACAGCTTGCTGCAAGATGGGCATCACAGTTCCCGTGTCCAGCCCAAACGTAGCTTCTGTGTTTCCTATCGGGGTTTGGATAATTGTCCCCCATAGACCTGGTGTTAAAGGCTTGGTCCTTCCAGTCACTGGGGAGTGATCTTGAAAGGGATGTTGGGAGACCTCAGTTTCTTCCTCTTCCTCTCTGTTTTGAGGTGAGAATTTTGCCATTTCCTGCCCCCATAATGTGCTGTCTCTCCAGAGGTCCAAAAACAAGGGGGACTGCCTGGCACAGTGGTGCACACCTGTAATCCTGGCAGCACGGGGGGAGGCTGAGGCAGGAGGATCATGAGTTCAAAGCCAGCCTCAGGAAAAAGTGAGGCGCTAAGCAACTCAGTGAGAAACTATCTCTAAATAAAATGCAAAACAGGGCTGGGGATGTGGTTTAGTGGTTGAGTGCCCCTGGGTTCAATCCCTGGTACCCAAAACAAAACAAAACAACAAAACAAGGGGGCCAATTGTCTAAGGCTGAAGCCTTCAAAACTGTGAGTCAAATAAACCTTGTTCTTTCTTTTTGGTTCTGGGGATGGAGCCCAAGCCTTGTGCTTACCACCCTCCATTCCTTTTTGTTCTGGGCATCAGGGATTGAACCCAGGGGCACTTAACCACCAAGCCACATCCCAGAGCTTTTTATTTTTAAATTTGGAGACAGGGTCTCCCTGAAGTTGCTTAGGACCCACCTACATTGTTGAGGCTGGCCTTGAATTTGTGATCCTCCTGCCTCAGCCTCTGGAGTAGGCACCACGCCCTGGAAGGAGGTGGGGCGCCTTGATTGACAGCCATGTGGGTAGAACCAGGAGAGGAAGCAGGGTTCCCTGGGGAATTTGGAGGAAGAGGGTGAGAAGGGACTTGAGTGTGCAAAGCTGGGCCTCCACTCTCTTCGAGTGTGATTTGCCAGGGGGATGACTGTCTTCACATCAGGATGCTGGAGCTGGAATGCTAGAACTTGTCAAGTCCACCCCAACTTGCTTGACAAACGAGAGGGCCGAGGCCAAGGCCTTGCTCAAAGTCATCCTCCATCTCCTGCAGAGGCATGACATCATTCCTGGCTCTGTCTCTAATTATTCCAGGCAAGAGCCAAGTGCAGTGGCCAAAGGGTTGTCTGAGAATCCCCTCTTCCCCGGAGAGTCTCAGCAGAGAGCAGGGGAGGGTTGGGGGGATGGCAGAATGCTTCTTACTGACGGCACAAGGCATTTGACCCAGCCACTTCTTGCCCCCTCAGGGTCTGAGCCAGGAGTCTGCTCACCCCTCCACGGTCTGCTGAGACCAAGGACACTGCGATGACTGTCAGGACCTGAGGTTGGCTCTGGCTGGCAGATTGGCTAAGAATGCAGGGAGGATTACAAAACAGGAGGCGGGTCTCCACGTGTGGTCCGTGTGATTCATCAGAGGGGCTGAAAGGCAGGCTAACCTCGGGGCAGGAAATGGACTTTGAAAAGTCCAGTGAATTCTGATCAACACAGGATCCTCAGCCTGAGCCAGGTTGCCTTCCTAGGAAGGCATCGCTTCCCGCCACACCCTCCTGCTTTTGCTCAACCCTCACCAACAAGTGCCACCCATGCCCCCTGCCCTCTGCCGTCCCTGCAGGAACACAGCTGGGGCACTTCCATATCAGATTTGTTCTTGTTACAAAATGAATGTCGTAAGAAAACAGGACAAAGCAAGGGTAAAAATCTTACCCACTCCTGTTATCCAGAGAATGCCACAGCTCATGTTTTGATTTTCTTTTGGGAAATAATACCTCTGTATTTACTTTTCTGGTTTTTATATTATTATTATTATTATTATTTGGCACTGGGAATTGAACCCAGGGGCACTCAACCACTGAGCCACATCCTTAGCCCCTTTTTATATTTTTTGTTGAGATAGGGTCTCACTGAATTGCTTAGGGCCTCACTACGTTGCTGAGGCTGGCTTTGAACTTGCAATCCTCCTGCCTCAGCCTCCTGAGCCACTGGGATTACAGGCGTGAGCCACTGAGCTTAGCTTATTATCTGTCTATCAGCATTAGGGATTGACCTCAAGGATGTTCTACCACTGAGCTACATCCTTTTTATTTTTCTTTTGAGTCAGGGTCTCGCCATGTTTATTTTACTTTTTAACAACCCATCTGCAGCCCACACTGCTTGGTGGCCTCTCTTTTCCTCTACTTCGCTACATATCTTGCACATCTTTCCAGGCCATTCAATATTTTTCTACCAAGAAATGTCAGCGGCTGCCCAGTATTCCATAAATAAACCATTGTTTATCCAGCCGCTCTATTGATTGCTGGACATTTTGTACTTCATTCCTGACCTTGTTTGAATCCTGGCTCTGCCACTCGATAGCTGTGTGATAACAAGAAAGTCACTTCCGATTTCTGAGCCTGGGTTTGCTGCTCTGTCTGCTGAGCAGCTTCAGGCCCCAGTGCCCTTGGGCATTGCTTTGAAGATCCCTGAGCCGGCGTTTGATGCAGCACTTGGCAGGGCGCCTGGGCCATGTCCCCCAAAGTGTCTTCTTAAGGTGACCTTGAGCGGCTTCTCTGCTGTGCCTCTCCCGCTGGCCCAGCAGTTCCTGGTTCATCTTGGCCTCCCTGAGAGGGAGCCCCAGGGTCTTTCCATGACTGCTGTTCTCAGGGCACAAGTCTCATGCCAAATTCCCACCAGCAGAGCAGGCGTGAGATCTCGTCTTGTACCCTGGACTAAGAACCAGAATCGGATGAGGAGGTCGGCTTCTCCCACGGCTGAATTTGGATTTCAAATTAGATCTTTAAGGGCAGAGCCTTGGGAATTCCCAGGATGTGAATCTCCTGGACCAGGAGGAATGGCATGGCTCCCTGCTCACCTCTTCACAGAGGGGGTGAAGGGCTGGGCACGGTGGTGTGCACTTGCAATTCTAGCAACATGCGGGAGGCTGAGGCAGGAGGTTTGCAGGTTCAAAGCCAGCCTCGGTAACTTAGCAAGGCCCTAAGCAACTCAGTGAGACCCTGTCTCTAAATAAAATACAAAAAGGGCTGGGGATGTGGCTCAGTGGTTAAGCACCCTGGGTTCAATTCCTGGTACAAAAACAAACAAACAAACAAAACCCCAAAAACCAAAGAGAGGGTGAAGGATCCCTCAAGTCTCTGAACACAGGCCAAACTGTGTGCCCCGACCTTGACATCCTGAGATGTAATCCTTCCGGTCAGTGGCCACGGTCCAGAGCCTCACACTGTGCTAGGGGCCGTCTTGCTGGAGCTTTCCCTATAGGAAGGTCTGATGGTGACATCACTTAGGCAGCTTGGGAGCCATGTATCCCAGCCAGGAGTCCCCGCTGTCCAGCCAACAGTGTGATTCACCACAGCATCCATTTTTTTTTTTTTTTGGTACCTGGGATTGAACTCAGGGACACTTAACCACTGAGCCACATCCCCAGCCCTTTTTTGTATTTTATTTAGAGACAGGGTCTCACTGAGTTGCTGAGGGCCTCGCTGAGTTGCTGAGTGGCTTTGAACTTGTGATCCTCCTGCTTCAGCCTCCCAAGCTGCTGGGATTATAGGTGTGAGCCACCGAGCCCACCTCAGCGTCCATTTCTGCTGCAGGAGGAAGGACCGAGACTCAGATCCCTGATCTCCAAAGAGGCCTCTTGGCTCAGTTTCTGTTTCCAACAACTGGAATGCAGACCCCAAATGACCCCAAGTAGAACATGCATGTGGAGGACCTGAGAGCGCATGTGCACACAGCACACCATACCCTCCCACGCACACTTACGCACTCAAGCACGCTCACAGCCCCACACACATCCACACGCACTTGTGTGCGTGCACGCAAGCTTCCTGTGCATGTGCCAGACAGCCATCCGTCTAACTCAGCTCATGTTTTGGTCATGATGTTCTGAGAAAAAAGAGGAGAATATGGTTTAAGAGATTTCAGGTGCCCAGCTACAGTACTTCTTTTGCAATGGTGACCCCATAGGGAAGCTCTCCATCTTCTCTTCCCCTTGAGGAGTGAGGACAGTGCCTGCTGCAAACAAGAAATGAGAGGGCTGGGGACGTGGCTCAAGCGGTAGCGCGCACGCCTGGCATGCGTGCAGCCCGGGTTCGATCCTCGGCACCACATACAAACAAAGATGTTGTGTCCGCCGAACACTAAAATAAATAAATAAATAAATATTTAAAAAAAAAAGAAATGAGAGAGACACCTCCAGCCTGCAGGCATTGCTTGTCTGCCCCATGCACCTGGCTCCGAGTGGGTACAGAGAGTCTTAACTCCTCTGACCTACATGATAACTGTAGCATGTCAAAGTACTGGCAAGACGAGGGGACAGGTCATGGGACAGAAGCAGGTTTGGAGATGGGCCCTGAAGTGCTGAGAAGATCTCATCAAAAAAGCCTTGTTGGGTGCAGTGGCTCACGCCTGTGATTCCACGGGCTCAGGAGGCTGAGGCAAGAGGACCGGGAGTTCAAAGCCAGCCTCAGCAAAATTGAGGTGCTAAGCAACTCAGCAAGACCCCGTCTCTAAATAAAATACAGAATAGGGCTGGGGATGTGGGTCAGTGGTTGAACGCCCCTGAGTTCAACCCTTGGTACCTCCCCACCAAAAAAAAAAAAAGCTAAAATAGAATTGGGGGTGCAGATCAGTGGTAGAGCACTGGCCTGGCATGCACAAGGCCCTAGGTTCCATCCCCAGCCCTGCAAAAACCACAACAAATCAAAAAGCAAAAAAAGAAAGAAAGGCGTGAACACCCATCACCCTCCACTGTGGCTTGAATACGTCTCCCTGATTTCATGTGTTGGTAACTTAACCGGCAACACCACGGTGTTGAGAAATGGAGCCTATGAAGAGGGCTTGGCTCGAGGGAGTGGATTAATGTCCACACGGCTGCAGCGGGTCAGTTATCTCGAGATGGACCCCCTCTTGCTCTCTGGCCAGGTGATGCCGACTGTCATCCTAGAACACAGCAAAGAAGCCCTCACCAGAGTCAGCCGAGTCTCACTTCTCAGCCTCTAGAACTATAGGAAATAGATCTCTCTTGTTTTTTTGGTACCAGGGATTGAACCCAAGGGTGCTTAACCACTGAACCACATCCCCTATTTTGTATTTTATTTAGAGACAGGATCTTACTGAATTGCTTAGGGCCTTGCTAAATTGCTGAGGCCGGCTTTCAGCTCACAATCCTCCTGCCTCAGCCTCCTGAGCTGTTGGGATTACAGACATGCACCACTGTGCCCCGCTCTCTATTCTTTATAAACTCTCCCGTCTCAGGTATTCTGTTATAGCAGCCCACAACAGACTAAGTCACTCTCCAGGTCCCAAAGCAGTACAGAATTAATGTAGAAATCTGTAAACCATAATTTTGTTTAGATCATTTATATTTTAATTGGGTTTAGATTAAAACCTAAATCTCATTTAATTCAAACAAATACTGAGTGGGAGCCTACTAGGTGCCGGACTCTGTCTAGCACTGCTTAAGAGAAGGATCAAAGACCCCTGTAATCCTGTTTTCCCCAGGGAAGCGCTGTCACTCTGTGGGTACACATTTCCTCCACCCGCTTTCTCACACAGGCCTGGTCACACCTTGCTGCGGCTCCCTGGGAACGTCCATCAGGGAGGTCTAGGGGCCAGAGAGCTGAGCCGGGATGGAGGACCTTGGTCCCAAGACTAATTCAATGAACCTCTTCACTCCTTGATTTGTTAATTTAAGTGAAAGAAGAAGATGAGGATAACAGACTTTGTCCTGCCTCCTCACCAAAAGGCAGGCAGCCACAGATGGCATTCTGGGCAGGGAAGCCCTAGTTCTCTGATGAGCACAAAGTGGGATTGCTTGCTCCGCCATAGGCCACCTGTCCTTAAGGGCTATTGTCCTGCTCCTCGCTCTGCTGCTCAGCTGGCTGGCCTGGGCTGTGGCCTTTTCTGATTTTTTGGCTGGTTCTCAATCTGTCGCTGCAGCATAGTGGATCTCACCTGAGATGATCTGTATCATAAGGCAATGTCTGGAGACATTTTGGTTGACACATGGGAGGGTGGGTGCCGCTGGCACCCAGTGGGTAGAGGCCAGGGAGGCTGCTAAGCATCCTGCAGTATAGGAGGCACCTCCTCTGGCAGAGAACAACCTGCCCTGAGTGTCATAGCCAGGCTGAGGAGCCCAGCTGTAGATAAGCAAGCTTGCTATGACCCTATGACCGGTCTGAAAACAGAAGTAAAGAGGTGTAGAATTCAGCCTCAGGGACCGCTCTTAAGATGAGCTTTGTGATCCTGATTTTTTTTTTTTTTGGTGGTGGTGGGGGTACTGGGGGTTGAACCCAGGGGGCGCTTTACCATGGAGCTACACCTCTAGCCCTTTTCATTTTTAAATTTTGAGACAAGTTCTCACTAAGTCCTCCAGGCTGGCCTTGAACTTGTGATCCTCCTGCCTTAGCCCCCTGAGTAGCTGGGATGACAGGTGCCACCAGGCCTGGCTCTGACTTAGGTTTGATTTGGGCTCAGGCACTGGATTTCCATCTCAATGGCCCTACCTGGCAGGGAGATGCCGGTGACAGGGGTGCTGGGCCTTTAAGAGGTGTATTCACACGCACAGAACAGAGCCTTCCCTGGGACCGTCGTCAGGGCTCTCTGGTGTCCCAAGGCTGTCTTCTTCCCTGCTGGCTGGACCCTGGGCCACTCCTGGGCTTTCTGCCCCTTCTATTTGGCCATGAAATCCAGGCATCTTTGGCTTCCGCTCCCCTGGGTTCCCGTTCCCAGCCATGCCCCCCACGCCACTCCAGCCTGGGACTTGCCTTGGATTTTGACTTTGTCCCCCTGGGCCTCTTGGCTCCCACCCTGCAGCCAGGCACTCAGAACAATGGGCTTCTTTCCTCCTTCTGGCCTCTCTGCCGAGTTCTGCATGGACAGGAGGTCCAGCGGGGCCCTCTGGCCAAGCCAGGCTTACCATATTTGGCTTGGGAATGTACCGTCCTCTGTTCAATGATGGCCTGCCCCCTGTTCTTGGCTCCAGCTGGCCTGTTCCAAAGTTTTTAGGACTCCTTTGGTTGTGAGTGCTAGAAAGCCACTCCGGCCAGGCTCAGCAAAACAGGAAGTCTATTGGAAAGACCCCAGAGGTATGTCAAGAATTCCAGGGCAGGACTGTCACCGGCTGAACTGCAGCCAGGGAGTGGCAATGTCAGGGCACAGACATAGCTTCCCTCCCTTCGCTGCGCTCTGCTCCCCGCCCCCCCCCCCCATCAGTAACCTGCTCTCTAGGATGTGCAGGACTTAGGTTAGACAACATGCAGTAAGACAAGAGCAGCGGGATTCACGCCTTCTCCATTCAAGGGCTGGAAGATTCAAAATTCCTGGGGAAGGATTGAAATTGTAAGATGCAAACAAAGCACTGGGTATCCATAGTGACGTTTGTTTTGGTGGCCAAGAGAGGACACAGAAAAATAGCTTGTCAGAGATGTAGGGGGAGAGCGGCTGGCTTCTGTTGTGGTTTTATTTTTCTTTTTTTTTTTTTTTTTAATATTTATTTTTTAGTTTTCGGCGGACACAACATCTTTGTTTGTATGTGGTGCTTAGGATCGAACCCGGGCCGCACGCATGCCAGGAGAGCGCGCTACCGCTTGAGCCACATCTCCAGCCCCTGGTTTTATTTTTCTTTGCCAGGGATGGAACCCAGGGGTGCTCTACCTCTGAGCTGTATCCCCAGTTCTTTTTATTTGGAGACAGGGACTTGCTAAGTTGCTCGGCTGGTCTTGAACTTGTGATCTGCCTGCCTCAGCCTCCCAAGGCTAAACTATTGACAGGTTCTGGGGACGAGGATATAGATACTTCATGGCCTGAAAACACTGGTCTCATCACCCTCTCACTCTCCAGCAAGAAGCTGGAGACAAAGTCACCTATCTGATCGAATAGCTTGGGGACAGCATGACATTCCCGGGGGACTGCAGAGGTGAAGCAGGTGCTCTTTACAGCTGGGCTTCGCTTTTGGTTGCCCTGGACTAAACAGACCACGCAGGCCTGCTGGATTCAGACTGCTGCACTTGGAAGACAGTTTTACAGTGCACAGTGTGATCTTGATTCCTTGACCTCTCTGTTCCTGGGTTTCCTCATCTGTGTGAGGGTCGGAAGGCCAGGTACTCTCTCCCTGTGATAGAAGGATTCCTCCAGGCTCCTGCCAGGGCCTTGAACTGAGGAAGGAAGTTGGAGGCCCGGCCAGTTTGGTATTGATGCTGCCTTCAGGAAGTTGACCAGAGAGCAGCACCCCCCACCCACTTTAGCCTCTTCCATCTGTTCTCCTAAGGGGAGGAGGGTCAAGGGCAGAGTCCCCATACCTGCTACAATTATGGGCTCCCAAGATCCCCCGAGCCGGTTATCTAGGCTGCAAGAAGGAAGCCCAGTGCCCAGAGCAGAGAGGCAAAGGGCCCATTGTCTCCCACTCTGCAGAGACACAATGGGGTTCTGTGCTCTGTCCTGGGGCTGCATTTAGAAAGGGACATTGCTGCAGAGCCTGGGAGCAGGTCCAGGAGGAGAGGACTCAACTCGAGCTACAGGAGGACTCACCGGAAGCTAGAGAAGAATCAGCATTTGTTGAGTGTCTAAAATGTCAGGGCACCCAGGAGCTCCGGGCTCCCACAGACCCTCAGGAATTGCACTTCATCAGACACGTGCCCAAACTCCTGAAGTCCCGTGGGTGTGGAGGTGAGGCTGCCCAACTGTCTGTGCTGACCAGCGCCATTCACCCTTTCTTTCCCAATAGCACCGTGGGTTTATTTGAGACAGCAAATGTATCCAAATCTGAACAAATTAAAAAACAAACAAACATGAAAATATAAAAGATAATCCATGCTCCTTTGCAACTTGAGAAGGCCACATGGCCGATTCTAACTTATGTGAGATAGCCAGAAGTGTGCTGGGTATTTTGGGGGAAAGTTTTTATTTCCTTCTTGTTTTGCTCTTTAAATTTCTGCCTGGGGCTGGGGATGTGGCTCAAGTGGTAGCGCGCTCGCCTGGCACGCGTGTGGCCCGGGGTTCAATCCTCAGCACCACGTACAAAGATGTTGTGTCCGCCAAATACTAAAAAATAAACATTAAAATTCTCTCTCTCTCTACCTCTCTCTCACTCTCTTTTAAAAAATAAATAAATAAATTTCTGCCTGGAGAGTTGATTGGAATCTGGAGGCACAGCAGCTACCTTGGAAGTGGGAGGTAATCACGAGGCTAAAAGCTTCCTATTTGGTGGGGCAGAAAGATAGAAAGGAACAGGGACACCAAGAACCTCACAGAGCTGTTACACCTGCCCTGCCCTGCCCTTTCTGCCCAGCCCAGCCTTGAAGCTGAAGAAGCAATCAACTCTGCACTTGGTCAAGTCCCTGAATCCGGCTTCTGTTGGATACAGCCGAACCCAATCTCTATTAGTAAAAAGGAACAGGACACTTCTTCCCCAATACAGGATTGCTTTGGGGAGTGGGTTTGGACTTCTCCTTTGTTGCTCTGGAGGGAAGACCTAGGGACTCCGGAAGATGCTAGAAAACAGAAACTGGGTCAGATGGAAAAAATAACTTCTCGCTATGCTCTGGGTTCTTGGCTTGCTAAGAGAGTGGATCTGGGGCAATTCCCACTAGTGGGAGAGTTGGAGCAGTGATTAGATGACCCTCCGTGGGGTCGGATGAAGAGACAGCCTTTGCACCAGTTAGGGGCTGAGCCACTCAGCTGGACAGGCAAGTAACTTGGGAATGTCCTCACACATCCTTTCTAAGGAGGGGTCTTTGCAGGATTGTGCAGTAACCTTTTTTTTCCATTTGTAAAGGGAATGAGTCTTCCTTGATAAAGTAAGTCCCAGCCCCAGGTGAGCCCTGGGAGGAGAACACTGCCTGTCGTTGACATTCTGCCCCCCACCCTGGTACCCAAACAAAGGGTCCTCCCAACCTTGGACGGGAGACTCCAAAATTGTAAGCCAAAATAAACCTTTTCTCTTTTATAAGGTAACTATCTTGGGCATTCCATCACAGTGACAAAAAGCTGACTAACACATCTGCTCTGACCCTCAGTTTCCTCATCTGCCAGTCCAAAATGTGGCAGGGTGGGAGACCCACTGAGAGTCGTACGTGGAGAATGCTTTTTAAAATGCAGATTCCCAAGCACCCTCCGTGAACCCTGGACGGGGGCATGACCCAGATCCCTATGCTTAGCTGTGTCCTCTTAGGTGATTCTGACCTAGCCAGGCAAGCTTCCCACCTGAGGCCTCCGCGGGTCATCAGGGGAAGGCCAGGTTTCTGAGGAACCTTCTAGCTCTAGATCCCTGACAGAGATTCTGAGTAGAGCACGTAAAACATGGCTGGGCCCAGGCTGCAAGACCTACTGTTAAACAAAGAGGCGGAGAAGAGCCTGGGTGAGTGCCTGGGACGTGGGACGGCTGGCTCAGAGTCCCTGGAGCTGCAGAGGACAGCTGTGGGGGGGCAGGGCGGCTGGCTGTGCAGGGTGGGATTGGAGGGTCTGGGCCAACGGGCTGCACCCTCCCTTTTCGTTGTCTGCTTTCCATAGGTTTTGAATTTTTTGCCTCATGCATATAAATATTTAAATCAATATGTTTTAAAGCAAAAAGCAGCAGGGTTGCAGGGCTTAGAGACAAAACCAAAGAAAAGAGAGAGAGAAGTCCTCAGCTCCTTTCTTTCCCATCTGCTGCAAACCCCTGGGGCAGCCCATGGCTGGATCTGTTTGTCCCACCTCTACCACCTGCAGGGTCTGGTGTCCAGCAGGGGTGGGTACAAGAACTGTGGACAGTGGCACCGTGCCCCGTGCCTCCAAGCCAGTAGGCGAGGCCTCCACACACAGAAAGAGGGGCCTGGGAAGTAGCCAGGGAGGACAGCATGGGGCTGAGTTCCAGGAAGTTCTGCTGGATTCCACAGAACAAAGTCTTGCACTCAGCTATTATTATTTTTTTAATTAGGCAGATTGCCAAATGAGCATGGGGAGGGGAGTGGACGACAGAAAGTCCTGGAGGAGACTAGGCTGGCAAGTGGGTGACAGGAAGGGCTTGTGGAGAAGGACAGCTCTGAGCTGGACTGCCAAGGTGGGAGACCTGGCCGGGGTCAGGAGCACTGCTGGGGTCAGTGGCCATACCCCCCAGCCCTCTCTCCCAAGTGGCACATTTTGATGGAACGTGTTGATGTAAAGGTTGGTGAGAACGAGATGAGAGGACATCTGGAACAGAGCTGCTCCAATTCAGAGTGTCAAGGGCCAATTGTTTGCTAATTTCTAATTTAATATAGAGCAGTTCTTCTTTTTTTTTTTTTCCTTTTCTCTTTTGGTGGTGCTGGGGATTGAACCCAGGGCTTTGTGCATGTGAGGCAAGCCCTCTACCAACTGAGCTATATCCCCAGCCTGAGACCAGTTCTTTTTTTTTTTTTTTTAATTACCTGGGGTTGAACTCGGGGGCACTCAACCCCTAAGCCACATTCACAGCCCTATTTTGTATTTTATTTAGAGACAGGGTCTCACTGAGCTGCTTAGCTTTTGCTGAGGCTGGCTTTGAACCCACGGTCCTCTGCCTCAGGCTCCCAATCTGCTGGGATGACAGGTGGGCGCCACCGAGCCTGTCTGTCTTGTCTAATGCTCACACATGGAGGGAAGGGTGACCATCGTTCCCATTTTACAGGTGAGCAAACACTGGCTCAGTTTTTCAGGAGGTGACACAGGTGGTCTACGATGGAGGCAGGGAAAACCACCTGACTCAGCTCCCATTCTGAGCCAGGGCAGAGCCTGGCGGGAGGGAGAGCCAGAGCCGGGTCCAGATGTGTTTCTCTGAAAGGAGCTGGCCCAAGGGGAGTGGAGGAAGCTGGGCTGCAGGGCAGGAGGGGGGCTCCTTCTGGCCTCTCAGGGGACAGGGTGTAGCAGGGAGAGGCTGTGTCTTTCTCATGCCCCTCTGCAAGTCACAATTCAGCTCCAGGCTGAGCTCACAGCCTGGGACACTGCAGGTTCTGAGGGCTCAGTACTGGCCCCCGCGGGTGGCTGCACCCTCAGTCCCTTTCCCTGGGGTTGTGAGAAGGTAGGTGCTGGCTGACATCGGACCTCAGCATTCGCCTCTGCCACTGAGAGCTGCAAGAGCGTGGATAAAGACGGCAGACTTGTCCTTCAGATTTTTTTTAAAAGCTTGAATATGGACAAAACTGAGAGATTCCATCAGGCAATAGAATTGCCCCTTTCCCAACCTGTCCCCAAGAGGTCAGGTGTTGAGGAGGAGGACAGGTGCCCGAGGGAGCCGACTTCTGCCTGGACGGAGGATGAGGAACTATACCTGGAGCCTCCAGGCCGGGCTGGATCCCTGCAGGGACCACACCAGACAGTCCAGTTATGCGTGGATAGCCCAGAGAAGGGCCTGCACCCTACTTCCTGGCAGTGGCTCTGTACAGCAGCAGATTGTGCTCTTGGGGCCTGCTGGCCACAGGGAAGGGCGGGCAGCCTGTGCATTTTCTTTATTTGGTGACTCAGCCTAGTCCAGAGCCT